AGGCCCGGTTCTACGGGGGTGCATAAGTTGAGTCGTTATGCACCCTCATTTGAAAAATGAAAAGTAAAAAAAAAAAAAAAAAAATCAAAGTGAAAAAAAAAAAAATCTAAAGTGAAAAATATTACATATATATTAACAATAATAATAATTGTAGTAATAATAATAATAATAATAATAAGAAGAAGAATATAGTCAATGATAGACATCAGAAAATGGTTAAAACAACCAGCCCTTATCGCCAGCAGTAACACTGCATCTACTGCAGGTAATAACAGTTCAGATCATGGGGACATGACGTGGTCACTGTCGTGGACACTAACGTCCTCCCGCCCGACTCGCCGGCTTTGCCCGCCTCGCCCACGGAGGGGGAGCAGCCGTAGCCGTCTTCTTTACCCCAAACACCGCCACCCCTCGGTGGCCCGCAAGTGCAAGGGGACCTCGGCAAAACAGAGCCAGCCCAGGTATATTTAAAAAAGTACCAAACTCGCCTGTACAGTGGGGTAAGGTGCTCATTTTGCAGCTCATGGTTTAAAAACAGAGATTGGCTAGAATATTCATGTAAAAAAAAAAGCCATCTTCTGCTATGCATTTCGGTTCAAGTACGTCGGATGCCTTCACCACGACTGTACCAGAGTACCAACCGCTGTCTCCTGGTACTCATCTGAGTAACTCACTCACTAAAAATGAAATACTATATGACAGTAAAACAAGAATGAAGTTTAAAAGGGTGATTTGTAAAATATCCATAAAGAAAAAGTAAATCTGCTTACAGTTCTGTTTCATATGGGTGTTGAGAGATGTATCCATAGATCTCTTCATTTTGCTCTCAAAGTGCACCAGATTGATGCATTTAACTTCAATATTTAAAAATAAATCTTCTTGGGGGAGCATACCCCCGGACCCCCCTATGTGAGGTCCACACATCACCTAGCACTTTACCCCTGCTTACACCTATATGCCTCGAGCCTTCATTGTAACTGTCACACTGTGTATATGCGTGGGGATTGTTGCAGTAGAAAATTCCACTGTAGCGACCGGTACAATAATGGGAAACCCTAAATGTTTGAGCACCCTCTATGAAATGTCAAGCTACCCCACAGCACCCCGACTATTTGTGTTGGCCANATGCCTTCACCACGACTGTACCAGAGTACCAACCGCTGTCTCCTGGTACTCATCTGAGTAACTCACTCACTAAAAATGAAATACTATATGACAGTAAAACAAGAATGAAGTTTAAAAGGGTGATTTGTAAAATATCCATAAAGAAAAAGTAAATCTGCTTACAGTTCTGTTTCATCTGGGTGTTGAGAGATGTATCCATAGATCTCTTCATTTTGCTCTCAAAGTGCACCAGAGTGATGCTTTTAACTTCAATATTTAAAAAAAATCTTCCCGGGGGAGCATGCCCCCGGACCCCCCAAGAGGAGGTGAGGACCCCCGTGGAGGAGGTTAGGTCCAATCCCCACTTATAAAAATAGCACTTTTTACCACTGCACCCTCTCTAATCTCAGATGCACCCTGAGTCATTTTGATCTGGAACCGGGCCTTTGGAGAAGAGAGCAGTGGTGCCAACTTACACAGTAAATTCAGCATATTTAAAGTTGGGTAGGGTCCATTATAACAAATTGGTACATTTTTGAAAAATGAATCAAAAACCTTCCAAGAAAATGAGCAGAGGTGTTGATTTACACATGAAATCTTTCATATTTCACATGCAAAGCTACAGTTTTGTTTACATTTACTACACTAATACACACTGCAGAAAACCATGAGGTGTGGTAGTGTTTGAGTATCTGTAAATACTATAGTTAACAGATATAACTAAAAGTTTGGTATTTAACAGTTTGTTTGTCTCAAGTCAACTTGTGGTACCGGCTGCTACTACCCAGCAGAGTCTTGATTGTTCAGATTGAACTAGATTGTAATGACTGTTCAAACACTTGTAATGCTCCGTCCATGTTATCACATTTCTGCATTGAGCTCTATTGATTGTATTGGATTTAATAGCTTTAATAATCAAAAGGTACATTTTAAAATAGATTGTGAACTTTTTTGGCGCCGCTTTTTTTGTCTGTCCATCAGACAAAGTGACGTTAACTTCACTGACACTACTAAAGCAAACACCGATAAGCTGTGGAATGTTTGTCCTCTAGCTAATAACTCACCAGACTCTATAATGCCAAAACCAATGGAGCGTATGCAGTTGGTTCTCATGCAATTTATATACTGATATATGTTTGTTATATAGAAGTTATCCAGTTTCCCCAACAAGAAGCCCAAAGCAGGAGAGGTATTAACTTGTCAAATATCTCAGAATGGAACCAATGGTGAAACAATTTAATCATTGCAATGCATTTAAACACATTATTAGGAAACATAATCAATCTTTAGTTTACCAGTAACCTCATGTGAATTCAACCAGGAGTTAAACTTTAACTTTTTTCACCGAGTCCAGATCACTTGAAACAGTCCTAGCATGCAAAACATTTTTAGAAAATGTCTTAAAGTGATAATAATTCTATACAGATGAAAATCACTGCAGGGTGTATTCTCTTGCATACAGCCTTAGTGTCAAGATTTGAGTTTACAAGACAAGTTCAAACTTAGTTCAGACACGGTTTCACCATTAGTTGTTCATTAACTGTCTGAAGGAGGTGAGCATTTGGCCTATAATGCATATGTGCTAATTAATACAACACTATTGTCTTTAAGTTAGACTATTTTAGGGAAACAGGATAGACTAAAATAAAATGTCCATTACTAGTAAATAATAATAAGACATATCTAGATTTTATGAGTTTTCTTGAAGTCTTAGTTGGCTAGCAATGCATGTTGATAACCACACTTTTACTATTATGAAAAAGTAGCTGGATTACAACTCTTAGACCAAAGTTGTGGATTTTAAACTGTGTGGAAACCAAGTGTTTTTTAATACTGACATTCAATCTGATTAACTGAGGGACTTTGCGTCTGTGAGCAGGGTATGAACAATAGACTGGGAGGAGTGTCTGCTCGAAAGGAAGGAAAAGTGGAGCATTTGTTCAGGAAAACACTATGGCACTGCATTCCCTGCTGTAGCCGGGGTTCTCCACTGGAAGGAAAGGGAGGGTCCCAGTAGAGAATCGGGGGAAATGTTAAACTCAGCAGAGAGAGATTTGTTGCCGTATATCCTAATGTCAGGAGTGTTTTGTAGGCTGTTGTGGCAAAACCTCCTCAGTCTCTTTATTCAGCCTGGAGAGTTTACTTTTGAAAACATGTGTTGTCATAAATGCTCCACTGGAGGGCAGACCACCGGCAGGAATGGTCCTGTTTGCAAGGAAGTTGTAACAGGCCACAAATCCTTTACTGGCACAGCTCAGGACTACTCCATCATAATCCATCTAATACTCAATATGCAAATATGATATCGATATGGGAACAGGACACTTGATATCATCTTAGATTCTGGATATTGCAATATGGTATAACTGCTGTCTTTAGCTAGCTGCCTTACTGTAACGTTATTCTAAGAACCCACCAAACTCTCCATCTTTACCTGCTTAGTTAATTCATCTTTGCTCATAAATCATTTTTGAAAACACGAGTATTCAACCCTACAGTATGGATAGTTATATATTTGGTCAGATATATCATGAAATGTTATTACTCCATATCGCCCAACTCTGCTCAGCTGCAATTTGTGTTTTGGCTAATAAGCAAACCTTAAAATGCCAATACTTTAAATGATAAACATGGTAAAAAGAAAGTCATTTAAATCTATTCTGAAAGTTATCTTTTATTCCCGTTGTTAAAAAAAAAAAAAAATGTCATCACAGTTCCCCACAACCCAAAATAATCCTGTTAGCTGTTATATATAAATGTATTTCCTCCAAAATATTCAATCTTAATATGTGAGGTGTGAAGTGGGAAGTAAATACATTTTGCTTCATATTCATTTTTGTCGACTGACTAATCAATTGAACAACTATTTGTTTTCACTCTAATAGCAGGATTTTTCTATGGGATATCTAGTAAATCATTGTAGAATTGATACATATTGTATTTGTAATGTCTTGCCACTATCAGGTCATCTGGATATTTATTCCTCTGGTCAGTGATATTGTCCTGTAGTTGTCGGAGGATAACTGCTGAGAGACGTCGATGTTTCAGCAGCGATGCAGGAGTATTCTCTGTCCGTATAACAGACGGTTTGAGTGCTCGTCTATGTCCCGTCTGTCTGCTTCTATCTTGGGTCGCTGGCCCTTTAAGGGAACAGCACTCAAAGGTAACAGCTATGAGATCATCGGCTTGCGTTGTCATGGCAACAAAGGCTGTTGCAGCACTACTGAGAAATAAAATGGCTGGCGTGGTGTCGCTCTCCCTCCTGCTCACCCCTCCTTCCTCTCCTCTTTCTCTTTGGTATCAGTGAACTGGAGCAGATTGGTTGTGACACCGCCCCCCCCCTCCTCCTCACCCGTGGCCCGTCCTGCCCTCTCACTTTGCTCCGTATTCTGTCCCTCCAAACGTCCATTCACACTCCACACATGTGAGTCAGCAGGAGTCTGCAGGAGATGCCACTCTGAGCGGGTTTAAGGTGATGCTTTGGGGGGTTTTTTTTTCACTGACAGCTCCACACAGTTGTTAATCAACCGGTGGGAAGCGGTGATGAGAAAGACACCAATTCCGTTTGGGGCCCTGTTAAATCCTTAGCTTCAGGTGAGACACAAATGGATGGGAGTTTAAGGGGCCCCTCATCCTTCAAGAGCAGAGTGTAAGGGAAGCAGAGTGGATGGAAGATGAGGATGGAAATTCAGCCAAAGATTTAGACACTGAGATATTCCCCGGACATCATCTGAGGGATGAATATTTATTTTTTCTTGTGTGTGTTAAGAGCTGTTGATATTTGCTCTCCTCTCTGCCTTATGTCCTCTCCCTCTCTCTCTTGCATCCTCCCCTCCCCTCAGCCTCAATCACCCAGACACAGACGCATGCATGCTCACGCAGAATCGCGCGCAGCAGGCGGATGCGCGCATACACACTTTCTCTCACACACACACACATACGCGTACACACACACATACTCACACACCCTTCCTGGAGGTGCTGGGAGCAGCTGCAGCATTAGCGTTGAAAGAGATTTGCCGTTGACTGGAGTTTGCATCCCCCCCTGTTAATGAATGGATGCTACGGCGATAGGCTCGGGACCTTCTTCCGTTGGATTGCGGGAAACGGTGGATATCTATTCTTGAAATTTATTTATTTATTTCTATGCTCTCCATTTTTTTCTCCCCACCCTCTCCTGGTGTGCTGTTGTCGAAAGGACGATGGGGTCTTGTGCTTGATCGGATAAAGATGGAGGTGAACGTGGCGTCTCCGGTGCTTGGCATACTATTGAGGTTTCAGTGCCCGTTAGGGTGAATGGAGCCTATTATTTCTGTGTTTTTTTTTAAGTGGGCTCTTTTGTTTTCCGGGGATCGGCCGAGCACTCCTGTGGTGAATTGAGCTATTGTCGAAGATTGGGCCTCTTAAGCTTTGAATATTTGACCGTCCATCCTTTCCCTCCCTTCCTTCCCCTGTTACCTTCCCCTCTAAAAGGAACAAGCGAATCCCAAAACCTCCTCTGAAATCTCTCCTCACCGTCCTCCTCACTTCCAATGCCCCATTTCCCTCATCTCTACCCCTACCCCCCCCGCCTCTCTCCTGCTCCCTCCTCCCACATCAGAGCGGCTACGTAATGTGCCTCCCTACGCATGCAAATGGGGATGCTACAAATGGTGGCTGGGACTGATGGCGATGAAAGGGTGATGCCTCGCGCAATCACCTGCACCTCCACCGCCGCTGCCATCGCTCCAGATCTGCCTGGGAGAGCCCAGCAGCCGATGACAACCCCCCTCAGTGCGAACACGGTCGTTTGTAGCCTTCTCGTGGATGTAAATGAGACGTGTGTATGTGTGTGAAGGTGCACACTGGTTCCTGCCATGTCTGGTGTGTGATCGCTCTAGCGGGACGTTCTTACTGATGCGGGGGAGGCACTGAGCCTGAGGTTGGTCGACCTCCCCCTGCACACCCCCCCTTTCCCACCTCCCTCCTTCCTTCCCCTTTCTCTCCCCCCTTCCACCAAGCCCCTAGGGGTGAAGGCCACCCGGTAAAGGGGTCACGATGAAGAAGAACCGCAGCAGCAATGTGCGGCGGGCCTGGCCCAGCTCAGAGCTCAGCGAGCGCCCGCTGGAGCACAATCTCTCCCGTAGTGAGAAAGACATCCGTGTGCAGAAGCAGCATCTTCCTCCCCCTCCTGCTCCTCATTTCTCTCCGTCCCCGCCAAGTTATCGTGCGCCAGGTAAGTCGTTGACACTCCCACCTACAGAAGCTCCTCCCTCTCACTCTACGCAGGGCAAAGACACAGTTTGATTTGGGGGCAAAGTTCCGAGTGAACAAAATGTTTGTGTTATGAAGGAAATTATAACGACCCCCTTTGATCACTTCTCTAATGTATCAAATGTAGTCAAATAGAAACAGAAGAATTAAACATATTTTTGAATGATTTCATCTAAAGCCTTATATTACAGGCAATATAGGGCCCTCATTTGGCTTGTCTTCAAATTCTATATTATACATATACTAAAATCTATATTTCTGTTGATCCAAATCTGTGTTACCTTTTTACTTCCTAGCATATTCTTAAATTTCCTGCAAATGTAATGACCCGTATACAAATCTGAATGTATATAATTGTATAGTCCCTAATAGTTCAGCATTATTCCAAACTATTAGTTGCATCACCTCTGTGCCCAATTTTGTGACAGATTTATATTTGGCATTTGTTGAAATTACAAAGAGGGCTTCTTGGCCATCTCATTACAAAGTCATGTCCTTACCAAGAACATCTGATCTTTTTTGTCCCTTTTATTATAAATATTTGAATTTCTTTCTGCTGTCTTTATTGCCTTCTTGTAGGATGTGAGACATAAATACTACGACCTCATTCCTGTACGATACTTTACTATTGCATACTATACTATTCTATACTATACAATAAGAGCTCAAGACCAGGATTGTATTCGACCAATTCACTGGCAGATGCAGCTTTTCTCGTGTTTACAGGAAAAAAAATAGAGTAAAGCCTCGTAAAGCCACCGAAAGCTTAAGGGGCTGTGATACTAAGCAGAGATAACGTCATCGTGTTGCCTAACTGACCATTCAGCTGAGTGTGGTGAGGAGGCAGGGCCCTGCTCATACTGCAGCTCAGGTACAAGAAGTGTGGACAGTATAATGATTACAAAACTCTAAAGACAGTGATCAATGAGGCAATCATTGTTTTGTATATCTGTGAACACCAGGACACACAATGTTAGGTTAGGAATCAAAGATGGAGGCTGTGATGGAATATTTTCTCTTCATTGTGTCGCCTGATTCTCTATCGATCAGCAGATGTAGGTCAGAGGACAGGGTCAGCCACAGCACAGATGCTGCAGCGATGGATTTGTGTGTTGCTCTACAACCTTTCAGCGGGGCAGATGTTTGCTCTCAGAGAGGCTTGAAGCCGGGCCGTCTGGTTGTAGGATGATCTCACTACTCACTACTGCTGACAGCAAAGCCAGCTTAAAGCAACAAAGGCAACAGGGAATGAATGTGTGTAAGCTCTAAATGTGGCGCTAAAGTCAGTAATGTTTTTGTTCATATACAGTATGGCTTGATTGTGAGACGATGTGAATTGAATGAGGAGGAATGCAGGTGATCTTGTACTACGGTTGCTGCAGCAGCTGCCTCACTTTGCTAACCTACGAGAAACAGGAGGGAGAGAGGCTGTAAGGAAGCACAGAGAGGAGGGGTGGAGCTGAGCGAGGCAGCATGCAAACTGCTGCCGTTTGACCATTACATCATAGCTTCACACGCTGCGCCTGCTGTTCATTCATGATCTAACAGTTGTGCCTCCTCCTCCTCCACCTCTTCCTCCTCCTCCTCCTCCTCCTGCAGGTGACGTGTCTCCGATCAGTATGTCACCTATCAGCCAGTCACAGTTCATCCCGCTGGGAGAGATCTTGTGCCTGGCCATCTCTGCTATGAACTCTGCCCACAAGCCTGTGAACCAGGAGGCTCTGGTGGAGCACCTCACTGCCAGCTTCCCAGGTACGCCCTCTGACCTCCTTATATAACATGCGACTGCACTAAAGCATGCAAAAACTGATTTATGAATACACCATGAGGCATATGTGAGAGAATAATCAGTAACTGTTACTACTAAGGTTAAAATTGTGATGAAATAAATCCAAAAATGTGCATATACCTGGTTGATTGTCTTCTGATTTGTTGGTTAATCACCTCAGCCTAATTGTATAAATGTCTTAAATAAAAGCCGGGTTTGAAAAGCAAATTATTCGCTTCAAAATCAAATCTGTCATCCTATCAACCAACAAGCAAACAGCAGTATGTTTCTACAGGAATAGATTTGAGACAATTGAACGATTAAGCGATTAGAACAGAACATTATTTGGCAACTATTTTCATGATAGTGACCATTTTATTATTACACTATTAAAGCAGCTTTTAAGATTTGCTGATTTTCTCTGTCTTATACCACAGTAAAGAGAATAGTTTTCAAATGTTGACTTTTGGGGCGAACTAAAGCTGATTGCCCTAAATGTACACCACCAATTATGGTGTACATTTGTTTTACTTTTTTCTGACATTTTGTTAACAAAATGGTTGCAGTCCTAAACTTGAATATCACATCATACCACGGACATGTGTAAAAAGTACAAAAACATCTACCTTCTTCCTTTCCTATGTTTTAATCAAGTGCTGTTATACGTATGTGACATTGCCTGTGAACAAATGATTTATTCTGAATTGTGGAGATTCTCTTGTTAAAAGTGCAGGATGGCCAGGCTTAATCCCTCAAAGATTTGTATGACTATTATCTGTGATTTCTGTTTCCAAATTGTTCCGTTGTTCCAAAAATGACATTTTAAAATAAATAAATAGACGTAATGTTTTAACACAAAAGTAATTTTCTTTGAGATGTGTCCAAACACAATGTTTAACATCTGAGGTTTTACCCAAACACTAAAAAGGCTACCCACTGTGTAGCCAAGTTTAAAAGGAAATATGTATCCTCTACTAAATGCCAGCGTGGAAAGGAGTTGAACTTATAGGTTGCATCGCTGCTGTGTAGAAAAAAACAGGGTGATGTAATGTCAGGCAACACAGGGCCATGCCAGACAAAGGCTATGAATAGTTTTATTTCAAATGGACTTTTAATGTTTACGTGGCCATTTAAACTAAACTCTTGAGGTGACTGATTAATTATCTTTAAGAGTGTTTATTAATTTTGCATACAGCTTAAATCTTAGGTAGTCATATCAAGTCATGGTGTTACATAAACATGTATGTGGATTTGTGTGCTGTTGGTCAATATAAGAAAAAGCTGGGTTATTCAGTGTTATTGTTGGGTTAAACTCAACTGCATTTACTAAAAGAGGCGCATCAAATATCTGCAATTATTTTTGTTCTTTTATAGAATTCAAAAATAAATACTTTTACACTTCCATTACTATTTATTTAAAAAATTGTAAAAAACAGAAGAGAACCCAAATTAATAGCTTATATTCATTTATTTGTTTATGTGCTGTCAAGCTGAATCCAAACCAAAGTTAAGTTCATCTCAAATTCTTCTGAGATCACATTGTTTCCATACACACTGTATTTGTCAAGTTTAGTTATTGTTTCATGTAAAGGCGCATCGAGAAATAAATACAAAAAAGCATTATATAGCATGAATAAAATGATAGAAGATTTTTTTTTTATGTAATGGGAAATTTAGGGGGGATCGTTTAAACAATAGCTCAGTTAAGTTTCATCCTTTACATTTTTTTAACTGCTTAGTTCCATTTTTTTTATATTCTAACCAACTTTAGGTTTACTTGTGCACCTATATTGGATATGCCTCGTGTGAGAATATATGTATTTTTTACATTTTTAATGATTTTATAACAATGTTTTTTAAATTAAATGTGTTTTAAAACTGTGGCTGATTTGTATTTGTCTTGCAGGTGTGCCTACACCCAGCTCAGAGGTTCTGCGACATACCCTGAACATGCTGGTGCGAGAGAGGAAGATCTACCCAACTCCAGAGGGCTACTTCATCGTCACCCCCCAGACCTACTTTATCACTCCGTCCCTCATCAGAACCAACAACAAGTGGTATCACCTGGATGATCGGCTGCAAGAGCGCTCACCGCTACTGTCACAGCAGCAGCAACAAAGTCAACAGCAACAACAGCAGCAGCAGCAACCTCAGCAATGCACTTCACCTCCGTCTGGTAATGTAACACCATCTACACCTGGCTGCCTGAGAGAGAGGCCTCCTCGCAAGAATCACAATGACTCATACAACTCCTATCGTGAAGACTCGTCCAGACTTCACAGTACCAAGTCACCAAAGGAGCACAGGGGAGATTCTTATCAAAGTAAGCCGCCCAAGGATCACAAGAGTGGGGAAACTCCACCAAGCACGTCAGCTAAGGAGCACCGAGGAGAACCGCCATCATACCCTCATCCCCCTCCTCCCACTTCCCCTCCTGTCGTGCAACCGCCGCCTCAAGAGCCCGCTGATAAGAGCAAAAGCATCACTTCTTTTCCTTATAAAACTGACACTCTCACCAAAAAGAAAGAAGGAAGTGGTGGCAGCAGCAGTGGCGAGAAGCAATCCAAAAGGTTCGGTCTCAGGCTCTTCAGGCTGAGTTTCAAGAAGGACAAAATGAGGCAGCTTGCCACCTTCTCAGCTCAGTTCCCCCCGGAGGAGTGGCCTCTTCGTGACGAGGAAGTGCCAACCACGGCCATGCCCCGCGAGGTGGAGATGGAGATAATCCGCAGAATCAACCCCGATCTAACTGTTGAGAACGTTGCAAGGCACACGGCTGTGATGAAGAGGATTGAGGAGGAGCGTTCGCAGAAGAACAAGGCGGGGTCTTCAGCCCACCACAGTGCACGCAGCAGGAGGGGGAGGGGCCACAGGAGGGCCACACATGGTAAATCCCGCTCACACAGCAAACCCAGAACCTCCAGGGGAGATCCGTCCGAGGGTTCAAACTGGGACCTCTTGTTCATGGAAAGGGATTTCCGCTTCTTTAGCCACTCGTTAGTTCGCTCGCCTCGGGAGGCCATGTACACCTTGGAGCGCAGGCGAAGTGGAGGCGCAACATACCTGGTCCATAGCAACCCCAACGTTACTGAATCGTCCTGCCCTGTTACCCCTGAGTGGGACGTGTCCGGGGAGCTAGCCAAAAGACGGACGGAGATGCCCTTCCCTGAGCCGTCGCGCGGGACGTGCCAGTCCAGAGTGCAGAGAAGTCACAGTCACAATCAGGACAGGAAGTCGCGTCACGAGAGGTCAGATCAAGCTAAGGAACGCTCTCGGTCCATGGACAACTCCCTCAAGGTTCCATCACTGGGGGTGCCAGAAGACTTTGAACCCACTCTGGAGGAGCGTAGTCATTACTACACTGACGACGGCACCCTGCGCGCCACGCAGAAGTCCTCCCACTTCTCAAGGATCATGTTCTCTGCTGCTAAGTTCCACTCTGATTTTAATGTGCCTGATTTGGGGAAAGGGAGTTTGGACGAGTCAAGGATTCGGAGTACGATGGAGAGGAACAAAAGCAGAGACAGCTTGCCAACGTACAATGAGCTAATGGGACTTTCTCCTAAGCCCTCAACAGATGAGTACTTCCAGTGCAATACGTCAAATGAAACAATCCTAACTGCCCCTTCGCCTCAGGCAAAATCAGAATATGACACATTAACCTCATCAGGGGGACTCCGAAAGGGCTCTCCGGCTGACCGGCAAACGCCTCACCTCACCTCTCCTCACACGATGGAGTACAAAGAGGACTTGTCGGCAGCAAAGGGACAGAATGGCTCAGTGCGGCTGACGCCAAGCCAGACGCCAGAGCCGGCGCAAAATGCCCGTTTGACGCCACACCAACACAATGTAGATCCCGGTGGGGGAGGCGGTGGTATGTCGATCAAGAGGAAAGAGATCTTCAGCAAGGACACTTTGTTCAAACCTCCACACAATGCCTTGTCCACAGGCTTCGTGGACAGCAGCTACACCAAGTCCGGCACATTGCGGAAAGCCTCACATGCCAAATCAACAGAGGCCCTAGACAATCCTGAGCCCCAGCAGCCTTCCAATTCAGCCACTTCCTCAGCGTCACCGGCAGTTTTACAGAGCTGCTTAGAGCCAACAGTCCCCTCCGCCTCCTTTGACTATTATAATGTATCAGATGATGAAGAAGAGGAAGAGGCAGAGGAGGACTCGCACAAAGAGTTGGCGACGGCAGAGGACAACAAGGATCATGGGGAAGTGGGTGGTAACGGTGGAGGCAGTGGTGGTGGCGGGGAGGGGACCATGCAGTGGCTCATGGACCGGGAAAAGGATCACGATTTGCAGCGAAAACTGGAGACCAACCTGACCTTACTCAGCCCCAAGGAGACGGAGAACAGCAGCAGCCAGAAGTCGGCCCACTCTGCACGCTTGGACAGCATGGACAGCAGCAGTGTCACGGTGGATAGTGGATTCAACTCCCCCAGGTTTGTGTGAAAATGATCGATAACGAATGAAAGATGATGAACTGTGAACTCTTCTTACGTCTTAGGGCTTACTGTGGAGGGCAAACTTTAGGTGGCACACATTGGGGCTAATATAAATGGCTTAAAACATCCAACCCTCCAGGGCCAAGTAACCTTTTATTTTGATAAAACAAATAATTATTATTATTAGCTCAAGGTCCACATGCTCAGTTTTGTCAGAAAATTCAACTCTAACAGTTTCTCTCAGTGGATGGATTCAGCCCACATCTGTAGTACCTATTTCATTTCCAATTCAATCAGATCTCAACTCTCTCAACACTCAGGGACCACCGTATTAGATACAAGCGAACAATATAGCTTATAAAACACATTTAAGGAACTGATAATGATTATGGTATTGTTGTCAGCAATGTGTGAATCCAATGACTGAGGTAGTATTGCCTTATATTTTAGATGTGAACCTAAGAAAGTGGAAACAAAGTTTATTTTTATATTTATAGTAATTTTTATGATTTGCTATTTTTTGGAGCAGCTCTTAGTGTCAAGTGCCAATGGTGCTATCTATTATAGTATAACGCTAATGAATTTGTTGTATTCATTATGTTGCTTGCTTCATTTTGTGTTTGAACATTAACTGAAAGAGACCTTAATCATAGTAACATGCAAGTAACTTACAAATGCATGTTATGTACGCCATAGGCGGAGTTTGACATTTGCGCTTGGGGGGGCAAACCTTTTTTACTGACGTCAGTACACAGTCCCAACTATTGCGTGGGGTGCTACGGATACAGTAGTAATAAAGCCAGCGCTCACCGCACTGAGTATGACTTTTCCATGCCCGCCGTACAAACACACCCATATGGAAGGGGCGGTCTCTCCCCCTAACAACAGTGCATTACATAACTGTAAAACGTATCATAACTGTGCACATCTTATACTTATTTGATAACAACTATATCCCTTGGTTACTTGAACACGCTACAATATTATTAACGAGTGTCCTACCTTATTAAAATATTGATGTAAGAAATATTTGTATTGGAACCGTTTTTGACGTAGTAATGCTGTAACATATTTCAGCCACTAGGGGGTCAAAATCCGCTTATGATGTACGCCAAAAATAGCTGAGCCAAATGACAAATGGATACAATTTTTGAAATGAGAATAAAAGTTTCGACTTTATATGAACAACTACAAACATTAGTTTATCAAAAGAAAAACAAATGTATAAGGCAGCAAGCTATTTCTGTAGACTCAGCTCAAAATAAGCTAGATCCCACATTGCAACTCAAGATCAACTGTCCTTAGACTTTCTATCAAATATCTTTAAATCTAAGAGAGTAGAAAAGTATCCTGATTACATCACTTGTTTCTTCTCACTAACTAGTCTGTATCCTCTTTTTTTCGCTCTACAAGATATACTTGAAAATAGTTTTATTTTAGGGGTGTTCTGTTTTTCTAGCCAAGCACCACCAATGCCATACACAATGTGAGATATGTTGTTGCATCTTGAAAGCCAACACTTGACTCTCTGTTGTCTCTTGTGCAGGACACGTGAAAGCCTTGCATCCAACACATCCAGCATTGTGGAAAGCAATAGACGGCATAATCCAGCGCTGAGCCCCGGCCACATCGGCACCAGTAGTATCGGACTGCCTTTCAGCTTTCGCGCCATCCCAGAGCCCCCCACCACACAGCCTGAGAAACTCCAGAAGTCATCGAACTGCCTGGCCTCCATCACCAGTGTCTGACAGCAGCACAGACTGAGACCATGGACGGTGGTGGAGGACAGAGGAAGTGAGGGGCTTCACCATTTTAGACCCTCACTTTCCTCAATCAATACACACACATTCACATAAACACACATCTTCAGACTCCTGAGAATCCATTTACTGGGACTGTTACAAAAACAGGCATGGCTTCAAGAGACTGTTCCCACAGCTTCAAGAACTTTACTGCAAAAAAGAGAAACTACAAGACCACTGAGGAAACCTACCTGAAGTACTTTGATTTTTGGTGACATGGACTCTAGTTTGGCTTATATCAAGATTCTTGACTATTGGTATTGGAAAGTAGTAGACTATAGGATTCAAGTTACATTTGGAAATATCAAAAAAACGTTTTATATTACTTAACAATACATGTCCAATTAAATGTTCTCCTTCCTGAAATAGCGTCAAGTTCTTCAGGACGATTCAATGTATCAGCACAATGTCGAGACAATAAAAGTTGATCCTGAGAACAACGAATGAAAGATATAAAAACATAAATCAGCTCAGATTTGTGTACCGCAATGCAAATGATGTATGTATACTCGATACTTTTGATATCCTAATTATTATAATGGTGGTATTAAAGATGCTATGTGACCAAAAATGATGTTTGGACAGAATGAGCTCCACCTCACCCTCACATGCACAACACACAAAAGAAAACTCACCATGAGGTCCATTTTTTGTCTTATCTGGAGTTTTCAATGATATCACATAATGTTCTTAAGGAAGCGGAGTTTGTCGAGATCATAAAAGTGTAAATATCAACCCCTACAATTCCCTGAGCACTTTAAGGACTTGTGTGTCCATGTTAAAGCATACAATGAGTTATTGACCTCTAAAAAAGGTGACAAAACGTTCAAAGTAGATTTGTAGCTGTTCTGAAGCTTTCAGTCATATCCCATGATCTTCCTCTGGAGATCCGTCTCATCACAGTTGGAAATTCTGAGATTTTTGGAAGGCTTTTAATTTCAAAACAGCACAAACATGGGGCGTTGTGTGAACAGAATGAGAATACTTTTTTACAGCAGGTTCTACAACATGCAAACTAAAAATGTTCAGTTCATCATATTGACTCGGCGGCTGTTGTGAATTTGAGTTAAAATGTCTAAATGGTCAGATAAAGCTGATTTTATTTTTCTACTAAGAAAAGAGCTCCTTATATACTGATGACACTGGGGTCTGTGCATTGCCTAGAGTAACCAAGATATTCGTTCTAAGGATTAATCATTTTAGAGCTGGTATGATAAGTCGATAGACAGAAAATAAATAAGCAACTACTTTAATAATGCATTAATAGTTTGAATCATGTTTCACCAATGTCCTGGTGAACCTGCTGCTTTTCTTTGTCTTATATGAAAGGACCATATTTGCTCTTTGAACTGACAAAGAAGGAAATTTGAATATGTAACCTGGGGCTAAGGGAAATGTGATTGGCCTTTTCTTCATCAGGTTAGGGGCAAAAACAATGACTCAATTTATTGTAAAAATACCTAGCACATTAATGACAACAATTGTTAGTTGCACCCCTAAATAATTGTGTACTTACTCAGTGAAAGTCTATAAAAAGTCTCAGGATGAATCCACTAATCAAACACGAGTCCATGAAGTTTGCCTTTTGTTCATGTCATTTTTCAATGGTTTGTGCAGCACAAACAATATTTGACTTCATTGAAATAAGATGGTATAAGTCATAGTTGTCTTGATCACATAACCTGCTGTTTTTTTCTTTTAAGTTGGTTCAATTGTTCCTTAAGGTTGGTCGTCATAGACTGCAGATGGACCCGAGAGAGTCAGACAATTTGTGAAACTACATGCACAGTTAACTAGTATGATGTTATTTCAACATGAATATACAACATGATGCTCTCATCAAAAAAAGTCCAAATTAAAAGTATTATTTCTCATTTAAAAAAACATTTATGAGTTTTACACATATTTGATCAACATTTCGTTTTCATCTCAGAGAAACTCATGCTGTCATTTAAAATCTTCAACCATTCCTTGTAAGTAAAATGACAAAAGACACCATCATTTGATCCATTTCAGAGCAACTTTAAAAAGCTTGAACAGAGCGCCCTCTAGTGGTCCTCTGGCTGTATATCAGCACGTGGCTATGTGTGGTTGCACCCGGTTGCATAAAAGTGTGACACCTGAAGCTCGTCTAACTGATCCTATAAAGGTAAGTCGTGGCTTATCCATAACATCTTAAAATGGGTCAAACATAGATCTTAATCTATGTAGATCAACGAACATATTGTTGTCAATGTGTCTAAAAAATATTATGAGCCTTGATGTAGTTTTTACATTTTGTAAACATTTGAAAATTACACTTTTCTTTTACATTTTGAAAGTTTTTTTTTCATTTTGAAAGTCATTCTTCATAACGATCCTTCTTTAAAATACAATTAATTTAAATATTGGATAATGTGTTCATCCCATAGACTAGTAAATTAGTAGTGTACACTTTTAAACTAAAGGCCTATTTATTCTGGCTGGCTTGTGAATTTAACCAATAAATTAATACATTTGATCTCAACACATGAATCATTGTTTGGTGTATCTTTGTTGTAGGATTATTCTGAATCTTGTAGTGAATGTAGTGAAGTAAAAAGTATCTGAGAAGTACTGGAAGTATAAAGAACCAGGAAATGGAGTATCCAGTCCCAGTAATTAAGTACCTCAAGTACTTGGATAAAATATGTGTCCAATTTATCACGGTATACTTCATATTTCCCACAGTTTAACACAGGTGATATTAATCAGACACGTACCTGTGTCATGTTTGCCAAGGTTCAGCTTGTTGTCATGCTGCCTTCATGTTTAATAATCCTCTCAGAAAGATGCTTGACATCCTGAAAGTCTGGCTTTGAGGTGCAATGCCCTCAGAATAAAGTTAAAGAAAACGGAAAGTAAAAGTGTCTTCTCTGGCAAGCTAGCAGTTAGCTGTTTTGGTCTCGGACATCCACTCCACGTTAAATCTATTTTTTTGTGTGTGTTTGATATCAAGTTTAACTTTATAAAGTTCTTCTTAGCTGTAAAAGATAATCAACATCTTTCTCTTCTTCAAATGCGATACAAACTTTTTCAGACTACAACAGTATTTGGTGTACCCCCAGCTAGGGGGAAACGTAGGAAATCAACCCCACTAGGCTTTGTGCATGCGCAGTATTGTTTTTGCACACCGCAGTGCGACTATCTTAGCGAGACGTTAAAAGTAAACCATTAAATAATATTACATCAGACTGTAGGAACCACAATTCCTATTTAGCCTTTGTTTATTATTATTAATAATACTTGTTTACACCGCTCACATTTATATTTGGTTGTCACTTCCGACAATTGTCACCTTGGTGTGATGATGGCAGGGCCGAATTCACCATATACATTGGTGGGGGGGCACATCACCCCCAATATTGAGATACGCTCAAAATGTTGTAAAACAATTACAAATAAAATTGCTATTCTATGACTTTTTTATTTTGGCTATTTGTATACTTGAAAATCTTAATTTTCTTCACCAAAATTATATATTCTTTTCATATGTAAATTGGTTCCGCCTTTGTTTGTTTATGCCTACAGTCTATGGTTTATGCATACCTTTATTTTGTACCCGGGGGGTGTATTTCGCTGTCGCACCTCCGAGTCCAGCTTCAGTTAGCGTTGATGCTCCAAGCAGGTCAGTCATGTTTTAATTTGCCCTCCATCAGTTCTGGTATCTTTTTTCTAGTTAGCCCTAAACTATATTATTTTATTTCGTAATGGTAATATTAATGAACCCTCCGGTTTAGTCTTCTTTGTTGTAAATAACTTGTAGTTTCTGATGTT